TATTTTTAAATCATTAAAATAATATTTTGTTAATCCAAAAAAAGGCGAACAAAAAAATCCTTGCCACATATATACAGTGTAACAATAAAAATTAAATATATAAATATAACATGTTATGTATTAAGGGACTAAAATATGTTAGTCATAAGGGAATAAAAACGACATTTTAGTCCCTAAAATAAAGGAATGAATTACATGTTTTAGTTCCTTTGATACAAAAAATATTTATTTATGCAACAAGTGTGTAAAGTTACCCTTTTTTGACGAATGTGTATGTTGTCGCACTCACCTACGGCTTGTGCGTCAATCACATGAGTCAAGAAAGGGAATTTACACACGAGTTGCATACAATATTTTTTCTACTACCGTACACATTATCTACTAATATTAGAAATATAAAAGTTACTTTTTTCACTAGTGCGTAAAGTACATAATGATTTGGCTTTAGAAATTAATCTTCAACTTATACTTTTGTCGTATTCTGTGATGATATACTAATAAAAGTTTAGAGATTGACAGTTCTTCTAATCCACACAGCCACGGACAATTTACTTTTACCAAAATCGACATCCACGGTTTGTTTACTTTTAAATAAATCGATGACATTTAGAGAAAATTATAATTAAAATAAAAAACCGTTGATAATTTGTTGGGGACTAAATAAATTCTTAAATGAGTAAAATCAAACAGTAGATTCTCACATACTTTTATTAAAAAATAAAAATTAAAGTCTGCATGACAATTGTTTCAAAGTACAACTTCTTCTTCGAATGTGACTTATTTACATTTCGGTGCCTAATATACAGTGTGTCTACTTAAGTTGGAAACATATGGAAAAAAATTATTATTGATTTTAGGAAAAATAGTTATTCTTCATAAAAAGTTCTGCATTATCTAAAACCTTGAATAAAGTCATCAAATATCAAATTGTTTTAGTGGTATACGAGGTCTGTCAAAAAATATGAATTTTGCTCAAGAGTAAAGTACGTTTATTTTTGACAAAATCGAAAATTTTTATTGTATATATACTAAGTAAACTAATATAAGTGGGATAAGAGCTTTATTAACGTACGTATGCGAAATTTGCACAACGAGTGCGTAGCATGAGTTGGGAAATCGCAGAAGTACCTTAATAAACCGTTATCACACGTATACTGTACAAATTTTTATCTACGCCTCTAAATGTAAAAATAAACGCTAATTATAATTTTTGTCTAAGACTTTAGGGTTATTGTTTTCCACCACTACCTACATGTCGATTAGCGACACATCGAAATGTTGGGTAGCGGTTCTAACAATTGAATAAAAACGTTTTTTTTTTCTTAGCTACGATAATATTGTCATAAACACTGAGTCAAAAATAATTCATTTTTAACGTATTTTTGCATTTTCGAGTAATAAAATGAGTGATTCGGAAAGTTTGTCATCTGATATTGAAGAACAAGCTTAAATAGTTATTTATACAACAAGTGCAAAAAGTAAGTGTTTATTGCACGCGACGTGAAATTGTCCAACGAGGCCGTCAGGCCGAGTTTGACAACACGTCGAGTGCAATAAACACTTTTTGCACAAGTTGCATACAATATTTTTTCTAGGTTCATGCAAAAACAAAAAAATGTTTTATAGAACTGCAGTTGTATTATCCAAATCATAGTAGCCGTGATCGTGTACCTTTGTTTGAGGCATTTATTTACGTTTGTGTTCATAATTTGTAATGAAATTTTTAATAAAATACATTTTTTTATTAATTTATTTATTAAATAATTGAAAATAATATAAAATATGCAATTGTTTTTAAAACGTAACACAGAAAATGAAAAAAGACTAAATATTTGGCGTTGATTTGAATATTTATGTTTGTCATGATCATAAAACGCTGTAGTAAAATGACAGATGAGTGCAATAAAATTTTTATTTCACTAGTACAATAAAGAACCAGTTTTTTCACTAAATATAGTTCAATAAAGTTTTGTTTTTTGTTTAAACGTAGAAAAAAGCTATTATTACTTGTTACTTTAAATTGTGACAGTAATTTGCTATTAAATTTAAATAGATTTTGACATTTTGACTTTTTTATTTGATTGATTGAAAAGCAGTGAGACGGGCGTAGATAAAGAGATTTATTAAAGGTGAGTTATTAATTCTTAATTGAGCATTTAAGAGGTTATCTGAATTTTCAGCCAAAATATGATTTGAAAAAGTAGAATGATTTTTGTTTTTGATATAACTATTGTAATGTTCTGAATAGGGTTTTTTGAAAGTATGGCCCGTATTACCAATATACAATTTTGGACAACTACCATAATTTACTTTATATACTCCCAATTTATTAATGGAACAATTTTGCCCTTTTTGTTTTTAATATCCCAAGCGTATTATTGTTTTTGAAAGCTATGTTTTGGTTTTTTAAGTATGACGAAACCTTCACTGGGGGTTTCTATATAATATGAGAGAATCGCATAGTTACAATTTTGATGGATTTCATCAAGTTAAGGCCTAACAATCAAGAACATAGTTGTTTGTTTAACTAGGCAGAGAAGTAACAGATTTATTACCGCAGCTAGCATTTCATTGGCGAGGCGAAACCGAGACAATGAAACAAGCCAAGTCAGTAAATCTGTGTCTCTGCCATGTGAAATATCTAATTTTTTCTGATTGTTTATACAGTGTGTTTAAAAAATGGAACTAAAATGAAAACCTCTTTTAACTATAACTGATATAACTCACGCATTTTTAATATATCGTATTTTATGGTTTTTGATTAAATATACTTATAGTAACTTTGTATTTAATTTATTACAGTAACTTTTTTGGCCGGATGCCCATGCAGAAGTCTTGAAAAGAAAAAAAAAGTAATTTTTTAATGCCTAAGCAGTAAAAGTGTTAGGTACTAATAAAATCGAGAAATATCACTAAAAGTTACATTTAATGTCAATCGACAAGAACATTAGTTCATCAGAATGGCAAATTCTTTAAAAATATTATTTCAAGTATAAATTCACACAGGTGTGTAAAATCAAATTTTACCCTAATTTTTCTATTAGAGCCTATGACTTTCACGTACAGGTTAAAAGTGAGTAGTTGGCTCTACTGGTTTTGCTTTTTTTACATTATAAATATTTTCCTATTAAAGTTGTGCATAAATTTCACGCACTTCTTACATAATATACATAGAATGCAGCACATAGAATGCTTTTCATTACTAGACTATATTATAACATAAAACATTTTTGTAAAATTTTGCTTTACTTACGTGTTGTCCTCTGATGTATTGACTACCGGAAGATTACTTTCCGCCTCAGAATAATTTTCCATTCTTTTTTTCAAGAACCTAATATATAGAACAAAAAATAAATCAATATTATTTAATTTTAAATATAAATTGGTATTACCTTAATCGAGCCAGTCGCTTATTTTTCCGTTTGTATGTTGGTTTTATTTTTCCCATCTTTCACAAAAATGCACTTAATAACTTAAAAAAAACTAACTCTATAGGTACTCCTAAATGTAATTTAATCTAACTACAGCTATTCACTAAATTAAAATAAAAAATATTGTAAACACCCTCTAATAAATCCAACTACATTATAATATCTCACAATACACCAAGAACAACTAAATGCGGTTCTGGTTTCCTTAATTCAGGTAACTCTGACCCACTTAAGACCTCTGAACGTCGGCAGCCGTGGTAGGGAAATAATATGTGGGATGGAGAACACGATTTCGAGTTCGAACGTTAAAATTTTGTAGGTACGCTCTTAAGGCAAAATGATATAAATAATGTACGTTTATACATGAAAATCAAAATTTACCGTGATATCTTGACGTTTCATAAAGTTACAGCAGGTAATCACTTTTCACGATTGTTCGTTAAATTTATAATTTTTTGTCAAAAAGTAACGTAGGTATATAAATACGTGGGCATTTAAAAGGCATAACTGAAAATCAAAATAACGAGATTGTGAATTAGCATTAATAAATTGTTTACGGTTTGTAATAACAGACTGCTTCGTTTAATGGTGGCCATCCTCTTCTTCCTAAGGCAATGGGAAATATTAGTAACTGGAGAACTCTTTGCCCAAAATATGAAGTCTTAAGATAAAACACTTGATAACATGTACCTCCTTACTGCGATACAGGATATTTTTCAAATTCTATGTCAGTTTTAAAATTTTCATATTTTAGTTTAATTTAAGTTCTTTAATAACAAACATCTTTCGCGTATTTTTCAAGATGTTCAAAATATAATTCTGCATTGGTTTTTATATTTTGAGTCAAGGATTCCTCATTATTAATGAAACGCACTGTATATTTCAATTAATTTTTATTGTTGAATAGATGATTGACATCATTTTTGATGACTCAAATGAGTATCTGTAATGTGAGGGTTACCCCACGGCACTTAGGCCCATTGTGCATTCTCCCAGCTCGTGAGCCAGCCTACAGAATTAATGCAGTTGACGTCGCCAAGAGGGGCTTCTCTTATATCGGCCAGTGTTCGCCAATACTCGCCGACCACAAATCTAATAAATAAGAGTGTCTGGCAATGGTAGAGGATAGATATATGCTCGATGGTCTCATCTTCTTGTTCGCACCATCTGCAGGTGCAGATTCTGTCCAGTATTTGTTTGCTGTAGTGTTGTCAGGATAACTTAAACGCTCCCTGGCAACTCTGCAGTTTCTTATTTCATCCTATATTTCCTTGAATTTCACAAGGGAATGTTTTTAATTAGGTCTGTCACTACCGATTTTGTTAGTCCAATGGAAGGGCCAGGTCCAAAAAGTATTTGGTTGGCTGCCTTCTTGGCTAGTGAATCAACAAGATGGTTACTTTTTGATGTGGCGTGACCTTTGATCCTTTGTTGATGGATACAAATGAGTAAAAATGTGGTTGAATTTTGTTAATAAGTTTAGATAACTTTGTAGTACCTCTTTCCAATAGAAAATAAATAAAAATTCAAATATATTGAAAAATTTTATTTGGAAAATAAAATAATTAACCCATCTTTATTAATATAATATAAACGATCTTTAGATGATTAAGACCTCTGCATTTCTACTTCATGCAAGTTTCTAACAACTTTTAGTAAAATTCCACTGTCTGTAAACTCATAATATAAAAAAATAAATACACTTAAGTTGAAAAAATACTTTTAATTAAAATAAAGTTGACGAACTAAAAAACAAATAAAATAAAAGTGCCGAGTCACTGTGCAATCCATTTAAATAATATGGATCAAATCTAATACAAATAATTTACACAACGAAATTCTACTAAATGGATAAATATATGTAAAAAGTGTACAAAATCTCTAACAGAAAATTTTCAAGTTACTTTCTTTGAAGACAGCATGTGTGTTGCTTTTGTCGTATCAATACCCAGCGCTGATGACAACAACCTTACCACACTTTTTACATCAGGGTTATCAGTTTCTGAAAAAAAAAAAAAATATATATATATAAAAATTATATACATTATTTTATATAGATAACACTAATAACCGGTGGCAAGAACGTTCGTTATTTATGAGGCTGATAAACTCAGATAAACAAAATGAAAGATAAATAAGTAACGCACTGTGGGTTTCATTTATTTTCTAAAAACATTAGTGATACCTGGGGAAAATTTAAAGACTATTTGTAGCACGCAAAGTATTTTTTCTGTCGCATTTTGTGTTATTTTGATTTTTAAAATTCAAAATGACAGATCTAATATGGTGTCCAAAAATATGAAAAACAGATTTTTCTTCAAGGGGTTTTGGAGTTCGTTAAATTTTAATTTGAAATCAAAATAATATATAAAAAGTATATTGACGAAATGCAAGACGAATAATAATAATGTAGAAATTTAGAAGAACTGATGTATAGTTTGTGTGTATTTGGTGCCATGTGGGTATGTCATCCATTCCTAACCTTTAACAACTTCAATAAAAGAATTACAGCCTATTCGTGATGATTCCTAAATGGATGGTAAGGAACTTTTTCCACCAGAGGTTATATAGATAGATCTATTACTTTGACATTAATTTAAAAGATGATATTTTCAATGTTAGTAGCGAAACACAAGACAAAGAAGAGTGTAACTTCGAGCTTGAAAATATAGTATTTCATTTAGACGATCTTAATATAGAAATGGAAGACAAAAATATTGAATAAGTCGTACTTCATTAATAAGTTATAACGGTCATTTTCAATTTCATATTGGATCGGCCATTTTTTATTTGAAATTTTTAATGTCATATTTAAAATCAGCGACACCAAAATAGTAGTTTGTGCAACTCGAGTTGTAAGTATATTTTTTCTACAACCTACTAACGAAAATCTACAAATTTTAAAAATGATTTTAGGTTATTACATCAAAATAACTAATTTTAAAATAATTTATGACTTTTACTAATTTATAAAATAAAATAAACATTAAAAAAAAGATTTAATTTTAATTAATCCTCAGCCCAGATTTAAATCCGTGCTTTTAGCGTGAAAGCCCAGATGCCCTAGTCTCTGCTCTATCGCCACATATAACAATTTAGTTTTAATACTCCTAATTAAATTGAATTCATAGTTTTTTTTTTATAAATTTATGGTTTATTTGTAAATTTAGACGAAATTAAATAATTAAAATAGAAGTGCTATTATTTATCGATTCTACACAAGAATAACTTATTTTTACATATTTAAACTCAATAACTAAAAAAAAATACTGACAATTAGTTTGACAGAATTGCTTCGAACATATATTACTAGAGCCATCGTCCAAATGGACTTTGTTTTGGTACAGGAGAAAAAAATAGTGTCCAGCATTCCCATTGGTCTGTTTTGTTTTGCTTGGCATGTTAAATCGTTCGAAATTGTCAGAACTGTCATTTGATTTTCATTAATTTCTAACTTATTTTTGTAATTTATAAATGATTTTGTGTATTTTATTACTTTAATGATACAAATTTTAACAATAGTAGAACAATGGTGACAATTTTTGTAAGTTGTAAATAGAAATATGAAAAGGCATCGTCAAGATCATTTCACAAGTAACTATTAGCGTCTCTACCATTTTTTTAAAAGAAACAAACATTTTATGCAAAAGGCCGTTAAACATGAATTTAAAATAAATGGTAAATTTAGAGAATTAAATTTAAAGATCTTATATTATATATGAGGAATATTGTTTTAGATTTTGTATACTACAGAAAAATTAAAAAAAAAATTAATCATAATTTTACAATATAAACAAGCTTTTCGGTTTTAAGTCATTGTATCAAGATAATGTTGAAGATGTTAAATCAATAATTTATGTTTTTTGTAGGTTTCCACCTAATCCTGCCGAAAACCGCATTTGGTGAAACATATTGAAACTTACTCCAGAAAACATTTCAAATAGTGATGTTTTATGTTACAAGCATTTTTCTGGATATATGTTTATATCAAAGACTGGATGCGGGGGAAGAACTAGATTAATTTTAGGTGCATTGCCATCAGGATTTACTGAGGCCCTAGAAGAAGATGAATCTAAAAGGTAAAGAACCCTGCACTTTTCTTTTGGGTTAATCGTTCAAAAATTTTAATTTTTTAGTGATGATCTAAACTATGAAGCCTCTGTTGCAGAAAAAGAAAATGCAGATTTAGAAAACATGTAAGTAACAAAGTACTTTTTAATATAACATAAATTTTATTTTCCAATACTTACCTATTACTACCTATATTTTTTATAAACCACAAAAATTGACAATAATTATTTTTTATTAAATGTATCTATGTTCTTTAATTAAGTACACTGCTAGTCGTTAAGAAATAAGCAAAGCCTAATGTAAATTTTTCAATAAAAAACTAATTTTAAGCTTTTATTTGCACTCCTGGTCATTAGTCTTGTATTGTAATTCTCGTACATGTATGTTAATAGATATAAATATTTGTGTAATATATTCACTATTTATTTATATTTTTGATTTTTAAATATAAGCTTTTTATCTTTTTTATTGCCTATTATTTCAAAAATCTAATGTGTCCAACACAAATATTATATTATTATTAATAATAATTTACTATTACTAGATACTTACTTAAATAATGCAAGTTTATAAAATATGTGCCTAATTTAAAGAATTTTGAAGGTATGTATCAAATTTATTATTTATAATAAAAATGATGCGACTTTGGTTTTAGTGTCTAATCATTTCCCACTCTCAACCCAAACAAACTCTGTTGAATGCGGACTCTATGAAATATATATATGCTCGAAGCAAAATTGTCGCTTATATAAAATTTAAATAGTAGTTTTTGCAACAGGAGTAAATATGGACAATTCACTCGAGTTGTACAGTATATTTTTTCTACGACCCCCTAAAGAAATTATACAAATTTTAAAAATTATTTTAGACTATTAAGATAAAATAACTAATTTAAAAATAGTTTATGACTTTTACTAATTTATAAAATAAAATAAACAAGAAAAAAAGATTTAATTTATGTTCCCATCCTAGATTTGAACACGAGTTTTTCTCATAAAAGCCAAGTGCCCTGATCTCACCACAAATTTTAAAATAATAGCCAGGTGACCAATATACAGGGTGTTTCCGAACTTGGCGTCCAAATTTGTAGGGGTGGTAGTTCGCATAATTTGAGAGCGATTGGCAGATTTCATTTTTCTAAAAAAATCATAATAAACAAAATAGAGAGCCATTATAAAAAAAAATCAAAGAGCAGGTCCTACCCTGAGCGCAATAGTCCTCAAAAACAGATGAGATTTGCAATTTTGTCGATTCTAAGCGTAGCGCGCGCGAATCGAGGCGATCCTATCGCTGTGCAGGACCGTACCTGTTTAAAATTTTTAATTATTTTTATTTTAAATATTTTGGAAAAATGAAATCTGCGAATCGGTCTCAAATTATGCGAACTACCACCCCTACAAATTTGGACGCCAAGTTCGGAAACACCCTGTATTATGAACTGTGATTGGTGGATTTTTTTTTTTTGAAGTGTTCTTACTACCTAGAATGGATATGAAATATATTCGTTCAGTTGAACAGAATACTTTTTCGTTTTGTAGTCTGTGCGTAGATAAGCTAATATCCATGTGGACGTAGAAAAAAATAATAGAATGAAAGAGAAAAATAAAGAAAAAATGATCTAGTTTTTGCAACTAGTTATATAATGTTGAACATTATGAAACTGGTTTGGAAAAATTCATTGTCACTAGTTGCGAAAGGAAAACAAATAAAAATAAACATTTTTTGGTTTTAAAATCAATAGTATACATTATTATTGAAAGTTTATATCAAAGAAAGGCAGGTCGACTTATAAAAATAGAATTTGGTTAAACTTTCAATCTAGTAATACTCTTGTTGTGATCCTTATTTTCTATTATAAATTAGCACCAAATAATTAGTTCACAATACACGACAAAATAACCTACTTTCTTGAAATCTAAATAACTTTAACAAACAATATAAACACTACAATAAGTTGTTGAGAATAAATCAGTATGATTTTCTATTTATCAATAAAAGAATAAAGTTAATTATATGTAACTAACAATATAAGAAAGTAGTAATATTGGTTGTCTAGATATCAGAAATTTTTTACCAAAACACAATTTTATAAATAATCTTGTCAAAATTAGAAAAAATACTGCATGTAACGCTTTACGAAATACCGTTTTATGAAACTCGTTCATGTTGTAGAACCACGCTCTGCTCGTCTCACAAATATTCACTCGTGACATAAAATAAGGCATTTTGTAACTGGCTTCATAAAGAGCTATTAAATAGCCTACACTCCATCCTACAAATACCTCGCCGAGTTGGTTTCTACTTTCGGCAATGAACTACCACATCAGTCGACAAGTTCTCGTTGGTATGGAGAATTCAAATGTAGACGGATGAGTATTACCGTCGATTCAAGGACAGGTGCACCAAAAACGTCATCAAGGAAGATCGACGTGTCATATATCGCGAGAATCATTTGGGATTTCAAAGACCTAAATGGACTATAACAGTCAAATTTTTGTATTACTCCATTTTAAACTTTTCCACTCATAAAGTACTTTATCAAAATTTTGCGGTTCAGATATCACTGGGAGCAGAAAAAATAATTGTTAAATTTGAAAATTTTATGTCCCCTATGTCCGTGACGTGTACCAATAAATTTTGAACGCCAAATGTCTACTTATATTTTCCTATTATTCTCTGTGTGTATTGTAGGAAAATAGAAAAATAATTAGGTGTTAGTTCTTTTTTTAACAATTCTGGACAATGCATTAAGTGGTGTTGCAACAAAATAAAAACGAGAAGCGTCGATTAAAATTTACTGATAGTATATTTTAAAATTTTTGTACTTGTCGATGTGTATTTTAAATAAATAATAATACCTATAATAAAAATTTCAAGTTTTTATTTTAGCTCGACAGGCAGTAAAATTGGTTACAAACCTAAACCGCTTGA